CAGCAACAGTATGGCAGCAACGTCGTGGATCGCGCGACGCGCTCGCAAGCAAAATAAGCAATCGAGCAAACGAACGACTCGCGTTGCAGACTCACTTAGACAGACTTAACAGTGCGTTAAGAGAGATGGCATCTGAATAGTCCGTGAACAGTTCCGTGATAGTCGCGTAATCGCTACCGCAGAAACAAATCCCCAAGAGGCGATCTCAGCGAGAGCATCTCACGGGGATCCTCGAGCGATCCTCGATGCCGGCGACCGCAGCCTCTAGCGTTTAAACAACCGAGTAAGTAAAATTCACGACGTGATTCGTGAGTTTCGTAGGAGACGCGTAATTGGTGTTGTTTGCGCGACGTGAATGAATACGAAGCAATTTCTCGCCGATTCCCAACACCGCCATCACCATCACTACCACCTACTCATCCCTCTCTCTCTCTCTCTCTCTCTCTCTCTCTCTCTCTCTCTCTCTCTCTCTCTCTCTCTCTCTCTCTCTCTCTCTCTTACTCACTCTCTCTCTCTCTCTCTCTCTCTCTCTCTCTCTCTCTCTCTCCATCTACATATCATGGCTAGATGCCTGTGAATGCTGCGAATCGTCCGCCACATCTGATCATCTGGCTCGCTTCATTGATTGTTATTACCATCGTCGTCGTCGTTGTTGTTGTTGTTGTTGTTGTTGAGTTCATTCATTCGCGGTACATCGCGCACCCACCATTCGTGGGATGCAGAATGTAATTTCTCGGTCGACTCGTTGCCATGTGACATCGTTTCCTATTGTAACGAGCTGTCGCTGTGAACATTGATTGAAATTAAATGAAACTTGACTGCAGATCTCTGCAGATTTGCGTTTGTGGAGGAAGAGGACGAGAAATTTCTCCCTCTCTCTCTCTCTCTCTCTCTCTCTCATTCTCAAAGTTAAGTTCTCAGTTAACTTCGATTAATGTTCGGGACGCAACGATCCGCAGAGAGAAAGAAAATATCCCTGGCGAAACAAACGTATAAAGGCGTTCCACCGAACGTCGCGAAGACGTTCCCCGATCAATCGGACGTCTTTTGAATATTTGCGATGTTTGGGATAATTGCACGTTATACAACATACAATACATCATGATCTCCCCCCAGTACCTGTTGTCTTATGCGCTTAGCATTAGAAATGGTACCCCCGCCCCTCCCCCCCCCCCTTTAAGTGGAAGTGCGTCTCGCTCAAGGCGCTTGGATCTCCCTTCTGCGACAGAATCGAGGAATCTGTGCGACGTGTGTGCGGTAGCATATAATACCTTGTATGGCTTGAATTCAATTCTCCATTCGACGTACGACAGTAGCGCGCGACTTTAGCATGTATCCGCCCCTCCCCCCTTTCCCTCCGGACACCACCGAGCAGTGTCGGAGAACTTTCTTGCATAAAGACAGCATGCATTCGCGCGTATTTATACGAGAGACGTCTCTTACGAGACACGCATTATTGACGCGTATTTACAGTTAGCATGAGTCCCATAACCGCGGTCGAGTTCTTGTTCTTCGCCATCTTCGGTCAGACGACGCACGAACAGTTCAAGGTAGAATCGAAGCAGCCCTCCTGGACGACCGTGCTCTTCAAGCTCGCCTTCGGCATTTACATGTTGGTGTCGGTGGTGGTGCTTATTAATCTGCTGATCGCTATGATGAGCGACACCTATCAGCGGATACAGGCGCAGTCAGACATCGAGTGGAAATACGGATTGAGCAAGCTCGTACGAAATATGCACAGGTAAGAGAACAAATGAGAGATATCTAGATAATTAGGGACGAATTGATAAGAAGAAGAGGAAGAAGAAGAAGAAGCGACGTCGCGACGTCGCGTCGCAATAATCGAACCGATTATGCCCGCGCAGGACCACTACGGCACCGTCCCCGCTCAACCTCCTGACCACGTGGATCACGTATCTCTGCAAGCTCTGCAAGAAGCGCCTGACTAAGAAGCAACAGCGACCCTCCCTGATGCATTTGATGGGCGCCGGCCGTATGTCCCCCCGCTCCAGGATGGGCGCCAAATGGCTGTCCAGAGTGAAGAAGAACACGCAGGTCGGCCACAAGGACAGCGTTGCCCTGTCGGTCGTCCACCTGAGCCCCCTCGGCAGCCAGTTATCCTTTAGCAACACCGTCAAGATCGACAACGTCGTCGACTGGGAGGTTGTCAGGCGCAAGTACAGAGATCTCTACGGCGAGCAGGAGAAGCCGATCGAAGAGAGCAAGGAATCGACGGAGACGAATCCGTTGGCGGTCTTGGAGGGATCGTCGAGCGTCACCGAAAAGTCAGGACTGCCCGGGGCCTGAAGGGGAAGGGAAGCGGGCAGGAGGGGACAGAAATCATTCAGGACAGAGATCATTCGCCGATCAGAGATCAGGACCAGAGTTCTGTACTTCTCACGGAAGAGAGAGATCGCGAGACGCGAGCCGTTCTCGCGTCTTCCTTTTCCCGCGACTCGATGCGCATCGAAGATGCGTTCGATCGCGCGATTAATTTGTTTGTACATATGCGCGTATGTGTACACAGGGACGAGCCACAGAGATGCATATACAGTGGTACCCTGTATCAGTATCCAATTCTTTTCAAATAAACGCCTAGTCTCTCGATCTAGAGACCTCGCTGTGTACGGTTACTAGCTAGCAGCGCTACCCGCTCTCCTCCTCGTGATCCACACACGTCTAATCGATTACCTGTACCACATTTTAGAGGCTACCATGCGGAATATCCATGTGCATAGGGATTGTTCCACGTCACGTTTGACGGTTAGTCTCATTGCATTATCTTAATAATGTACATTTTTTTCTCCCATTTGGAATGTTCTTTTTTCGATCATGCATAAATATATATATATATATATACATACACACACACATATATATATATTATACACATATAATCACATATATGTATATATATATATATATATGTACACACACGCGTACATATTATATATGTACGTATAAATGCATACATAGAGCGCAATTGCGTAACTCTCTCTCTCTCTCTCTCTCTCTTTCTCTCTCTCTCTCTCTCTCTCTCGCAACGATGCACACACCGATCATTATGCCTGCATCATGTTGCTCACGTAATATTTCATAACATAATACCGGCGCTCGATGTATATTTGTAGAATGTGTATATACGCGAAATAGCTGCGCAGAGCTATGATATCACGATCCGAAATTGCCTTCGAATTGGCCACGTCGTTACGCATACATACACACAAATCATCACGCGTTCAATGTGTAGCATGTGACATATTCGTTGGTATGTCAAAGTGAACGGTTGTATGTACGGGTGAACAGGTCTCAATCACTTTTCAATCATTCGCACGTTGCGTGATGTTCAATTGGCATGCATCATGTGTAAATGTGTACCCTGCGAAAAACGGTTTGATTGAAAGGAATTCAATGGGACAGATTTAATTTTCCAAATCGAGGCTACGGTTGTTGAGAATGTCAAATTCACTTTTACTGCTTGCTGTTCATGTACAGTGGAAGTGGTAGAAGGAAATTCGACAATCTTATTAACACTCCTGTTCCTGATTTCTCGTGGATTCGTGACTTTACTACTACAGAATTAATTTCTATAAAATTCCTTTTAATTTCCTCGTTTCTTCACAAGGGCTGCGTATACAGTGTATACCGAAATGCAGCTCTCACGTTCATCAAGCCACATTCATCTATTCGTGCGTTTGAATGCGTCTAGAAACTTTTCACCGATGTGTATACCAAATGTGAACAGTGTTACACTTTTGAATTTACTCAGTGCCTATACTCGTGAAGATAAAATTGCGCTGCTCTTCCTCCCATCGCATGTTCTTACAAGTTTTTTCACAAAGTCCGCAGACCTTTTTCGCCGATTTTTCCTGAATAAAGAATCGACGTAGTCGATTTCCAAATCGTCAGCATGAATTTTTACGATTTTTACGATTTAGAGGAATAGAGGAAGAACTGTAAATACATGTACAAAATACATTTTTCTGCTCATAGTCAGAATATGAAGACGAATGAATAACACGATGCATTTTATTATCGGCAGTGGTGTAGTGACAGAGTTTGCAAATATAATTTGCAAACACACATGAAGTACACATATGAAGTAAGAATGATCAATTACCAGTAGTTACCAGTAGGAACAATTTTATTATACTATACCACTGCATTAGCATAGGAGCAAGACAAACTCGAACGCTATGATTTTTGATAGTGCATAGTTGAGCGTATGACGATTGAGATTAATTCACCGATAAGACTTGTTTGATTTATCGATCTTCTTCTCTGTTTGCACAGTGAGAGTTAATCCGATCAATATCACGGAGTATCTTTTCTTCTCCATTTTCGGCCAAAAAGACACCGAAGATTTCACAATTACGTTGAAACAAAAGCTGCAACCAGGATGGACGATTTATTTCTTCAAGGTGAGAAGCGTGACTATTATCACTTTGTTTGTGATCACTTACAGGATGCTCCATAATTATTGACAATATTTAAAGTGACTGATAGAACTCGCGAAGATAGACAGAAGAGCATCATATTATTGAATATAAATTCTCAAACTAGCCGTTTCCGAAATATTTGCTTCATTCTTATATTTTATTGTATTTCTTTTTCTCTCCTTGGATTTATTTCTCTTCTTAGTTATTGGATAGATTTCCAGAGATATGAAAATTGCAGAAATAATTTCTCTTTCTCTTTCTCTCGTTAATCGTTTACTTTGTAGTCGACATCGAAAACGTCGCAAAACGACGCTCCTCAATATTCGCTAATTAAAGTTATGAGGTTATCCGGTCAGCTCCAATTATAGATCAATTTCCATCTCAACTCGATGATAATCGACATTCCCTATTACGATAATCTGACTGTTGAAAAGTTGATTCTTGGTTTAACGAAAAATTACTATTTATCACTTGCCAGAGCACTTACTAAGCGCGGCTGAAGCATCAACTTTATAACGGTCTTTATCTGGTTATTCGGTCGTTACTAGGGATGCCTAGGAGCGTATCCTAGCAGCACAGATGTCCAGAGGACGTCCAGAGTACGTCTCGAGGACGTATGATCCTGGGGATGTCTCTTCATCCTCAGGATCATCCTCAGGTCCTTAGGACGTCCCCAGGAGAGAACATGTGCTATCAGGGTAGTTATCTATCTATGATTTTATCAACGCGCGCGTCGCACTAAATCGACTCCGCGCTCTCACAGGATCCTGACGCTCCTCACGCTCCTCGGAAGCGGGAACAAGTGCGCGTAGTACTTTCAATTCCGTAGTACGTAGTTACGTTACGTTTTGCTCCTGGAATGTGCCGCGTTTCTCCTACTCTACGTTCACGCTCATCAGCTGACCTCCTCCCATCAAGGCTCCCGAAGGGTTATTCTCCTCGACTGATGTAATGCAAGCACGTTTAAGCGTTTAGGACGTCCACCGACGACGGCAATACCGTCTGTCAACGACGTGTCGAGAGCACCGAATTTTGAAAAGTTATGACAGATTGTAATTCGTAGAGTAAGTCGAGTAAGGACGTGATGTAGATAAGATGAGGATGTAGATAAGATGAGTAATTAAGATGAGGAGTCATCTTCTCGCCGTTTTAGAGGACGATACCGGTGTCGGTGTAACTGTCATTTGTAACACTAAAGGTGATGATGGTAGATTTAAGTAAGTCGGGAGACTCCCTGTCGCGAAACGCAACTCTCTCTCTCTCTCTCTCTCTCTCTCTCATTCGCGACAGAACCGTTAACGTCTTGTCCGCTATCTGTCTTCTATCTGTACCTAAATTTAACAAATATTTCGTGTCATTTCAACAGGTGTCATTCTCTCTATATATGCTCGTCAGCGTCATAGTATTGATTAATCTGCTAATTGCCATGATGAGCGACACGTATCACAACATTCAGTCGCAGAGCGATATCGAATGGAAGTACGGTCTCAGCAAACTGGTTCGCAAAATGCAAAAGTGAGTGGACGCGGTCGTATGCACACGTCGTACGTACACATATACGGCATTCTGAAGATATTTCTAACGAAACTCTCATTTAAAATACACAAAGCTGCACCGTCATGCTTACTTTTTAATCCTTAATCTTTCGAAGGACAAAAACCGCACCGTCACCGTTGAATCTTGTCACCACATGGGTGGCATTTCTTAAGAGAGTTTGTAAAAGGAAACACATCGCAAGGCAGACAACCGACAGATCACATGGATACATGGAACCTACCATGCATCAGAATGACTTTCCAAAATCTACCGTACGTTACAGACTGTCGATGCATTTTTATCACTCACTTACAAACATTTTTTATCTTCTTGTTTTCAGAATAATAGGATACTTCCGGTGTCGCGAACGAAAGGCAATGTCAATTTCTCATTACTTCAATCGAGCCCGGCTGACAGTCAATGGTCCTTGAATAATGCTCCAAGAATACAGAATGTCGTCGACTGGGACATAGTGCGTCGAAAGTATCGCGTGCGATTTGGAGATGAAGTTGAAAAACCGTCCGATGGAGGAGAGACAACGCTTGCTGCAATGGCTTAAACAGTCGAGTTAGCTTAATCCGACATATTCCCTCGTTGAATATATAAGTTTCAATAACATACGTCACTTTTTATCACTACTCTATTTTATATCGTAATGTATTTGTGATAAACGTCGTACGTAGATAAAATACTTTCTACTCTTTTGTACGTTTCCCGCGGTACTGCTAATTTATAAAATATATGTAAGCGTGTAATATATATATATATATATATATATATAAACGTATACACACACACACACACACACACACACACACACATATATATATATATACACGTTTCTCGGATCGGAGAGTAACTCCGAGAGTATATATATATATATAAACGTGCGAATGTTCTTCTCCTAAATTTCGTCCACTTCTCTCGTTCGTTATATCTCGCCTTTTCCGAACGGTGACTGCGCATTGGTTTCTAGGTAGTAGGTACCTCGAGTGTCAGTGCTGGTGAATTCACCCATGATAGCGGTGGCATTATCACCGCATTTATCCAGCTGAAAATCCATCCAATTGGCACATTGTAACGCGACGAAGCTATCGGGACGCACAATGGACTCGGCGTAAAACTGATGCGATCTACCGTGGCTGCAAAATTCTAAACACACGAGATGGATGTATCAGTTTGTATCGCGACCACATGACGAAACTAAAATGTGAGCGTGTAAAGAGGTTGCACGTACGTGTTGAAAATATCGGACATCCCGGTTGCCTGAACGTCCCTCCGTTCGGATAAAAGTCCGCGTGGCCGATCGGCCGAACGAAGCCTAAGCTACCAGCGCAGGTGTGGATAACGTCCACAAAATTCGCATCTGTCGAGTCGAGTCGTTCCTTTGTGTCCTTCAGATAGGGCGTTTCATACGCCGGCCTGGCCGGATCCAGACCCGTGATACGGCCGAGTTTCTTCGATGACGAACTACCGACGTGCCCGGCTACGTGGGCGCCCAAACTGTGCCCCAAAACGTGAATGTCGTCAAAGGAGGCCTGGCTCTCCGATCCGAGAAATTCTAGAAACTCAGCCACGTATCCTCCCACCTAGACGTAAATTTACCGATTTATCGATTTCTTCATCGTTTACTTCATACCTTACGATCTCGTTCTCCTCGACTCGATCTCCTTTGACTCTATTATATTTTGCAGAATGCACAAAGTTTTTTCTGTTCACCTGACGAGTGAGTCTGACGGATGTTAGGTACTCCTTGTTTGAACCGGAGAACCAATTGACGCAAATTATGTTGTAATCTCCGATGCTAAGGTAGTTCCGTCGAATATCGTGATACCAAAACGTATCTCCGTTTTCTGACCACCCATGAATAATGATCTTGGTTGGCCATTCGGGATTAAATGGAGAATTCTTTAGCTGGACGGTGTCACCTGTTCGTAAAGTAACAGCTTGCTCCTTGTTGTCTTTGGTGTAGAGATCATACGTCACGTCCTCCGCTTTAAAATCCAAATCGAAAATAGCGCCAATCACCGCGTGATCGTTTGGAATAATCGACGTCGGATTCATTTCAAAAATTCCAGAAACACTGTCTTCAGGATGGATATCTTGAAGATTTTGAAATAATGACCGGTGACCTGCAGATTGGACCATATCATCGACAGGCATATCTAAAAATGAAAGTAACAAATAATAACGTAAAAATACACGATGACTTTACTTGTACTGCGTAAAACAGGGTCTTTTCTTATCTTTTTTACTAAAAAACTTAAAATCATAGATACGAAGGAAACTAGATTACTTAAAAACAAGAATGCGCAGAATGTTGCGACAATAGCCATTGTTACACACACACTTTACCACAACTTTTACGTTGCGGTCGGGCACAATTCTTTATATACGCTAGTGTTACATAAACCGAAATTATCCTCATATCAATCGACCCATAAAATTTTATTGCCGATGTCGAATGAGAAAAATAATGATCGCTCTACGAACTTCCGGCGTTTGTTTACTCCAACTTGAGTGTGTCGACTTTGCTATTCCGTCCCGTGGTAGAATTGGTCAAATATAGACTGCGAATTTTTACAAAGCACTTTATTTTTCATTTACATATTAAAAAAACTCCAATAGAAAATAATAAAGATGTTACTGATATATCAAATTTTAACGGTAACATAATTATCATGATATATATATATATATATATATGTTTTTTGGTTCGGGCTTATCTCCTTTGATCATATGGCTCGCATTCTATAACACATTTACGCATACACCTTTTCCTAAATATATATAGAACAAAAAAGTGGATGATACACGAGGTGTTTTGTACAAAGGCTCGAAAACAATTTTAATACTACACACACATACGCACACGCATACACGCACACGCACACACGCGTGCGCTACATATAGTGTTTATGTTTATATATATATAGCTTTCTAACTACTATATATGCCAATACTGTAGCTTCCTATTACTTTTTCTAGGACTTTTTCTAGAGCCTCTGTAATAATTTCCTGCTGTGCAATTGAGATGTTAATCCCAAGTCTTAAAATTCACCAAATTTGATCATTGCTAAGCAGTATGTTAACTTTTATGATATTATAAATTATAAGTATAAATTTCATTAATTTCTCAGTTATTACTTTATACTAACGCAGATATCGCAGATGAATTATATCATAGTATAAAGTAACAAACATATTGCTATTATACATTATGCACCATACATTACTTGTTTAACATAAAGTTTATAAAGTTGTGCGTATACCTCTTACGCCCAGCTAAGACACAGGGGAAAAAAGAAAAATTAAATGAAAAATTGAGAGCCTTAACATTGAGATACATTGAGGTATATAAAATAAACAAATTACTATGAACAATTTTAAGCTAATGCAATAAATGTAAATCTTATTTTGAATATCTTACCGTCAAGATTACAGTAACTTAAATGTGAAATGCGTATCTATGAATGAATAGCAGGTTCACTTTTGTCGTACAAAATGAACACTTCATGTAAAATGTAATCACATAAAAAGAAATAATCGAGGTCGTTAATAATCTTAATAACATCGATCATCGATAAAGAAAATATGCAATGACAAATTTAGAGAAGATTAATGTTTAAACTTTAATGTCTTTACTTAACTTTAAAAATTAACGTTTAAACCTCGAAACTGTAATTTCAAGCATTGTTCTTCTGAAGGTACATGACCTCTTTACCATATCTTATGTGCCTAACAATGCTCAGTCCTGACGCAGCGGCTTCTTCACGTATGATTTCGTGCTCCTCTTCTGTGAAACCTTCAGGCAGAGGTTGTCTTGTTATGTTGTTTTGTACCGATTCGCATAAATCTCGTGCGGCTTTACGGAATTCATCGCTTTTCGTTTTATTCTGTTCCTCAGATTTGAAACAATTTTTCCACAAACGTTTCTCGATTTCCAGGTACTGGCGCTGCTTCGTATTTGTCTACAGAGAAATATACAAACGTATGTGTGTGTGTGTGTGTGTGTGTGCGTGTGTATACATACGTATAAAGCTATGCTTAAACGAATCGTTTTACTCGGCTACAGGATATTCCTTTTGACTCACTTGTTGAATTGCTTTCTTAATAGATTCATTATGAGGATCTAATTTGTAAGCTTTTTGCAACTCCTTCATTGCTTCATTATATTCTGCGATACATAGCAGAGCTTTGCCAAAACTGAGAGAAATATATGAAAGAATATGGTTTCATTATAATGTTGATTTAGTTTGATTTGATGTATGCATAATTCATACGAATGGTTGTATCATTTATCGATACAACTTACTTATAATGCGTTTTAGCTGTTGGAAACGGCACCCGGTTACAGACCATGCAAGCGTTGCGTGGCATGTCCATTTTGTTGTAACACACTCCAAGATTAGTGTAAGTTCTAGAAAGTAATTCGTTCATTTCTTGCTCCTCTGCGCTATCCTTTAATTTCACCATCTCCAGACAATCCACAACCTTTTTGTATCTAAAGAACGTGATGTTGAATACAACTATACAGCGTGCAAACTCCTTTCTTAAATCATTCATTACTCACTCTCGTATCGCATTTTTGATACGTTGCTTCCGAAAATGATCTTTAGCAGTTACAAGCCTATGTTTGACAGATTCTATCACATTAGGAAATGACTGCTTTTCCTCAATACTGAGGTTATAATATGTGTCTGCAGATCCATTGTCAAGGAAATCAGTCAAGTGAACAATGAACGCTACTTCCACGTTAGGAGGGATGCGTGGTAAACAGCCAATAGCCCTGTAGGCATAGTCAGGATGCAGCCAAAATACTGCTACCTCATGCTTCCGCATACTACATATAGCTATCTCTAGGCCTGGAATGATAATGTTCTGTCCTAGACGTAACGTTCTTGGTTTTCCACTAGCGTATGATGAATCAAAAGGTTCATCGTTGTCCTCAAAATATCCTATATAATGAACAGTGACTTGAGCATTGTAGGGTACGACTTCTCCGATACCTTTTTGCTTAGTGAATTTCATCACCTGGACAAAAAAATTATATTATTATACTTACATTTGTAATTTTCTTATTATACCTATCAGGATCAATGTTTAATGAAATGTTATTTTTACAGAAAAAATAATTTGCAACATACACACTATAAAACTTAATTTACCTTTTCATCTGAAGTCAAACTTGTCATCTTACTTTTCAATTTTGCGAAGCTTATACCATGAATCAGCAAAGTTTCTTGATCTTTGTCAACATCCTCGTTATCTTCAAAATCATTCATGTTCAACATATCCAACATCTCCGCATTACTATATTGTGCGAATGAAGTATATGCAAATTCTTCATCCTCATCGTCACAATACTGTTCTCCAATTTCAAACATAATTCCATCTTTCGACAACAAATCTCTGAAATAGACTTTAGTTAGAATAACCATATATACTTTCATATAATGCAAACATATTGTAAGTTTATGTTAATTTACTCGAGTTTGAATCCTTTCAACGAAGAAAATGAATGCTCCGCCATTTTTCTCAGTATTGAAATATTATTTTAAATATTTGGCTCACAATTGCTTCGAATTGTTTTTTCTTAATTCATTAAGGCTATTAGCCTCTATCGGTATCTCGTCGGTGGTTATGGCCAACCATGGCCAACTGCGAAAAAAATATTCTGATTCTGATTCTGATTCAATGGGTGCATTCAATACTACAACCGCTCACTGAGCGCCAAGTGAGCTCTTGCATCTGATTGGTGTATATTTTTAAATCTAAAGGAATATACCAATCAAATGTAAAAGCTCATTGAGCGCTCAGCGAGCTCTTGCATCTGATTGGTGTATATTTTTAAATCTGAAGGAATATACCAATCAAATGTAAAAGCTCATTGAGCGCTCAGTGAGCTTTTACATTTGATTGGTATATTCCTTTAGATTTAAAAATATACACCAATCAGATGCAAGAGCTCGCTGAGCGCTCAATGAGCTTTTACATTTGATTGGTATATTCCTTTAGATTTAAAAATATAATCAGATGCAAGAGCTCACTTAGCGCTCAGTGAGCGGTTGTAGTACTGAATGCACTCAATAAATGGCTCTGAGCAGAGCTCAGTTAAGTCCCTTGCACTTAATGCCAGGCAACAGGCACTGAGAATAAAAATAGACCAATCACAATAGATTATTCTTGTAATAGTCGATTGTGATTGGTCTATTTTTATTCTTATTGCTTGTTGCCTGGCATTGTGCACGGGACCTAACACTCTCTATCTCCTACGCCGGTCAACGATTACGAAAATGGTCGCGAACATAATGGCCGCGTTCAGTAGACTCAACAGTTGGACAACATTACTAGATCTTCCACCGAATCTCGCTCCTGATTGGTAAATATTTCTGGGTCTATGAAGAATCTAGAAGAATGCTCCAATCACAGACAATAATCACTAAGCGCTCACTGATCACTTTGTTCTACTGAACGCGGCCAATAATAAGTGCCCGTTTTTTTTTTGCAACTTTTGGAACGCATCCCGACTCGAGAAGAATGAGAGTCACTGGGTACGTTCAGCGGAGAAAATCGCTCAGTGAGCGATTAATGACTATTGGTCCTTACTGTTAGATCCTTACATTCAGACCAAGGCTGCGTTCCGATATTCACTGCCAGCACTGAAATTCTATAGTATAGGTGACACAAACTATGTATTTTCAGTACTGGCAGTGAATTTCGGAACGCAGCCCAATAACGTTGACGAATTACTCAACGGTTGCGGAACTGTTGAATGTCGTGAACGCACCCACTGCTCCGCCTGCGGAGTACGCCTGCGCAGTGACTCACAACGAAAGGCGAGAAATGAAATATACGCGGTGGGACATATTATAATAATACAGACTCAGATGAAATGAATACTCCAGCATCGAAATGGAAATGAGGGGGAGCACAGAACAGACAAGAATCATCCGATGTAAGTCTTATACTCCGGGGGACATCCGAAAAAGGTAGAGATAAAGAAACATGCTTATGTTTTTAAAACAATACGAACTTAATTAAGAGAATTAAGCTGCATTACGATAGCTGCGATTCTGCTATACATTTATACGTGATTTATTGTTTCAGCAACAGCCATCTTCTGTAGCAGAAGCAATGATATTAGATACAGAAGTAGTTGTTATAGCGAATTTTGAATTTTTGGGACATACAGACATGGACATGGAAGAAGGAAGAAGGAGATGGAGAGGATGAAATTGATGATGCAAATACGGATACCAAACCAAATAAAGTAACGTTTACTATCATCTTGCGTTTTAATGATATTGTTCACGCTATTTGTTCACATAATTTCTTATTTTTCAGGCATAAATAATAATAATAATTCATTTCATCTGAGTCTGCATTATTATAATATGTCCCACCGCGTACATTTCATTTCACGCCTTTCGTTGTGAGTCACAAACAGAGCCATCTATTGAAGAAGAAGAAGAAGAAGAAGAAGAAGAAGAAGAAGAAGAAGAAGAAGAAGTTGAAGTTGTGAGTCACTGCGCAGGCGTGCTCCGCAGGCGGAGCAGTGACTCTCATTCTTCTCGAGTCGGGATGCGTTCCGAAAGTTGCAAAAAAACGGGCACTTATTGTTATGCCGCGACCGGAAATACGTATGCAGGTTTTACCGTCGAAACCTGCAAGTGGATGTAACATCGTAGTTCCCTTCTCAAAATGGATGCAGATGGCGCCCTTTCCCAGTGTGGAAAGTCGGTGTCGCCAAAAACGCCGTGTTGGCCGCTCTCACGTTCCTCTCTGGTGGCAATAGAAATGAGAATTCTGATTGGTTTATTTCCTTATGCGTTGTGCATTATGCCTTTATGTAAGAGGGTGTGCTTCCCGCTTTAGGAACACTGTTACACTATGTTACATAGTGCTTTATTGGCTACATATTATCTACACATCTTGTTAGATAATGCATGGCCAATAAAATGTTTTCGTCTAACACGGTGTTTCTTGCTGGAAAAATGGCCAAAGACTGTTAGGCCGGTTGCATACAGGACGCGGCGGAAGTTAAGCCAGCGGCACACGGTGCTTGTTTTCGTGCTGGATTGCTTGCTGGATGAAAATACTGCGTTCTGATTGGTACATTTCCGAAGATGAATGGAAATGCACCAATCAGAACGCAGTATTTTCATCCAGCAAGTAATCCAGCACGAAACAAGCACCGTGTGCCGCTGGCTTAAGTTAAGGAATATCGCAGTAACGCAGCAATCAACGTGCGCATATCTTGTAAATACTATTTCCGTGCAAGCAAGATACCGAATGGCTATCGCAGTATTTCCTAGCCAACTTTCACCGTGCGGCAAGCGTGTCGCATTCTGTGCAACCAGCATTATAGAAAGTGTGTGTGTGTGTGTGTGTGTGTGAGAGATGGCGTTTAGTATTTAACATGACTATTATGAACGGCTGGAGCCACATTGAGAGGAAGAGAGAAAGAAAGTGAAGAGATCCAACTCCACATGACCAGAAATGTAACAGTCAAGTCAGAGAGAACGACATAAAAAAGTGTTTCACAGTTTTCTTATGTCATTACGCGAAAGTGTCGATACCCTGTGAAGAAATTAGATCCCAGGTATGGGGAAGACCACGAGGGTAGTCGTTTGCGGGATGAAAGGAGTCGGGAAGACCTCCTTGTTGGAGCAACTTATATACGGGAACATTGATGCCAAAACTGTATGGATTTGGATTATCCTACTTGAATTTAATATAGTCTTCGATTAATAAATACGTTCATTAAAAATTCTGATAACAAAGTACAGATGAAATTAATTAGTATCTTTTTTTCATTATAATTGTCTTATTTAGTATCTGTGTTTGATTTAATCGAAAGCTTGTTATCTGATCTAACTTACATTATCTAAATAAATTGCAATGTAAGAAACTTGAGCAATCTGTAAGAATATACGAGTGTAACAACAAATTTGCAGGAAATTCATCCAACGATAGAGGACATTTATGTCGCTAACATTGAGACTGATCGTGGAACAAGGGAAAAAGTCAGGTTTTATGACACAGCTGGACTGGAATCTCTACAGAGTAATGCAAATAATCAGCAACTTCCACGACACTATTTGGGTTTCGCAGATGGCTATGTTTTAGTATATGACACTAGCAAACCCGAATCTCTAGATGTACTTTTTCCATTGAAGAAGGATATCGATAAGAATAAGGATAAGAAAGAAATAACTGTGATAGTTGTTGGTAATCGGACAAAAACCGATGCTGCATTGAATAATTTGGAGAATACAGCGAGCAAAGCTACCAACTGGTGTACCAGAGAAAAAGTTAAACATTACGAAGTAAATGTTATGGATAGAACTAGTTTGTACGAGGCGTTTATGCATTTGTCGTCTAAGCTAAATCCACCAACCAATAAAAGTACATTTCCGCAATTGAGCATGGGCAGGAAAACTGTCAAGGCAGAAGCACAATGATGACTGTTCCCAAAGATTCGGCGGAATCATGTGAAAGCTGCGGTAGTCATAACATAAAGTTGTTTATATATAAATCTTGTACTCAGGTATAATTTATTTAATAATCGGTCGAATGCACGGGTTTGTGCATCAACGGAGACATGCTACAAGATCTCAACAGCTATGTATATGCGGGCAGTATGTACTTCTTTATTTATTCTGAATATATGTGTGATACTAGGCCTGATACAAAATAAATTATAGCGCTAGGTATTGTGTACTTAAGATATCACAAACTTTTTAATTTAGCATTATTGAATCGTAGACGAAGTTCAAATGTAAGTATTTCAATATTTTACAGTGAGATTACAGTGTTATATCGTCGCTTGAAGGCCTCATTTTGTAGTGATATCGAATTTTGATCATTAATTAATTAATATAAAACTGTCAAATCTTCCTAAAGCATTGTCTGTACTTATATTGCCTTGTAGAAAACTGAGGAGTTTGGATTAAATTTGCGTGCAGAATTGTATGTGTAATTATTACAAGGAGAACGTTGCTTATTGCTACAATATGCATAGTACTTGGTATAATTATAATTGTGACTATATAACTGACTATATAAATGACGAATAATTTATCTTGCAGAAATATAGAATAAATATTAATAAATATGAGAATCTTGTGTTAATATACTTCACCATTTCAAAGGTTCGTCCAATTTTCTCAAAGTCAGATTAGTTTTGAACAGTCGATCCCATAATTCACTGGTAACGCCAAATCCTGCAACGGACAATCATCAGTTCTCTTCAATGAATAATCGCTAATGATAATTCTGGGCAATCACCTCGATTATGATGTATGAAGTGATGATAATTGTGTTTCCTTTTCATCGTGTATAAATAAGAATTAACTCGCGGAGCTCCATTATGTAAGTAATAGTGCATCAAGTCGTAAGATAGGTAGCCTGTAAAGTGCGGATGCTAAAATTACAATTATACAATCATGACGGTCTGTTGCAATGACGATGATGAGGTCGGATGATTAATATATCGATGAGAAATACTTCAAAATTTACGGACACTCAAAGAAAGATAGCGTACCCATTATATTACCAGCTGCGATGAGATGGAGCATTGTTGGAGAGAATAAGATCTTATAAATTTGCCAGAGTATTCCTGCCACAATGACGCTAAATGTCGGTGGAAACATCAATCTCCGTCCATCAAACGGTGCCTGTTAACATAACTGCTAATTAATATTACTGAAATTAATTTGTGTCCAGTTTAAAATATCGCGCGAGGATGTGTGTCACCTTATGATGATTTCCGTGAAACAAAAAGTGCAGAATAATTAATAATCTCGAATTGTGCGGTGGCTTGAGATGAAATATTTTTCGATGCACGAAATATTCCATGACGGTCCATATAAGTATTCCCAGAGTGAATGGTAGTAAGATCCTTTGCGATGAAACGACTAAAATAGGAAACCGCGTGATAGCAGCTGCGACGACAGTGCTGGAACACGCTTGTTGTGTGCGTGTCTTATTTCGTGTGTATATGTGTGTGTGTGTGTGTGTGTGTGAGCTGCATGAGCGCAATTTACCGGGATCCGTCGAGATATTCAAGACACAACCCATGTAAAAGAAATACATAAATATAGGAATCCAGATGATCGGAACCAAGTACCACGGCGTGACCGATAATATTTCTAAAATATCCGATTGGAAGAGTCGGATGGGTCGGTTCACCGGCAAGTTCACCCATTCCCAATATCGGTGGCCCATAGAACTCACTTGTTGTAAAATTGGTGCATCCCAATTCACTGGATCCTAGAATAAAGTGCTGTTTCATTAAGAATAATTTCTTTACTTTCTTCCTATAATATAAAATACCTCATTTTTTCATTTCTTAACATATCTAAGACAGTTATACTCCCTTCCGTCATTTGTATGAAGGCCGAATAAAAAAGCGACTACTTCTTTTCGTCCCGTAATATTAATAAATACCGTGAATCTTGTCATCTTTTCCAGTCGTCACAGACCCTAAGCTAGCATTCGTCATATAAAATATTATTTGATATCGTAAATTATACCGACATTATAAGTTATTGTTATTATGATATTATAAAATTGTATTGATAAATTGATATATAAATTATATCGATATCGATGTACGATTTGATATCGTACATTTTTCGTAAACTTTAGATCGTTTGTACCATGAAGGCACTGACGAAACAAGATTTACAACATTTATCGGTTTATCTGGATAATTACGTTCGTACCAGTGACAAGTAAAATGAGATAAAGCCTCTATAGGAGTGATATAGCGAATCGACCGGTCGTAGATAAGCCTGTGACAAGTTATATGCGAACGTTCGTCAACGTGAAATAGAATAAAATATTGGTATCTATGTGGGATAACTTTCAAAATGACTCTATTGGAATACACATGTGATTTGGCAATCACAATAGATCTTTTACTATCAACACGCACATTGCTTTAATGCCAATATTATTACTCACTTCGTATTCGTTATATCTTTCCTGGCGATGTACAGCGAACTCCTCGAGAAGATAGTAAGCAGATTTGGAATGTGAATGTCTCGCTAACGCCTTGTCTAAAATTTTACCTTTGAAACGCGCTAACGTGTTCTTCCCGCCAGGATGATAATTTAAAAAATTGTTAATATCATAAATGCGATCTCGATATTTTACAAGAAACTCCGTCGTTCTTTTCGTGTTTTGACAAGTTTCCGCTTTATTCGCGCGGATTGCACCAATATTCATTGCCTCGTCATTACCCATACTCACGCTAGGCTTTAAGTAAAAAACTTGTTGTAATTTTTAGCTCTATAAGCTGATATTCGAAGTAACTACGGATGATATCAGGTGTTACTGAAGCGCACTACGCATCTCACGCACTATCGCAAGTAGCACTAAGTAGCCGACGTTGTATGACTTGGTAATTTGCTGCAGTAGATAAAACTTTACTAGACATGTTACGTGGGAGGGCTCGACGATGACATTACATTTCATAAACAACTATACTATCGTAGCGAATGCAAGCGATTACTATCGCAAGTAGCACTAAGTAGCCGACGTTGTATGACTTGGTAATTTGCTGCAGTAGATAAAACTTTACTAGACATATTACGTGGGAGGGCTCGACGATGACATTACATTTCATAAACAACTATACTATCGTAACGAATGCAAGCGATTATCAAGGTTAATATTGTTACGTGTCGAAAGTTTACTGCAGTATACTTTGGAACGTACTCACAGCACTGTCAGTACTGGCAGTGAATATGAGGGTGGAAAGCACTCTAAATGAGATGCAAAACACACACGTACCGTGTTTTAAAAAGATACGTAACAGTTTCAAATGCATATCTGAGAATTTTTACATATCGGAGCCTTGGAACCTAGCGACAAGAGGCGACACTCTGTATTTGCATTTAAAAAATTATCCACATTCTACAAACATTTGTTGATCTGTTTCGCCAGTGATGAATAAATGTTTTCTCATGTTCGTGAGAGTTTCGAAGATATAAGAAGAAAAAGTACATCTTAGAGACGCAGAGAATAATAATTTCGCCTATGTATGAGTACGAATATAATATTAAATAGGTATACTATTCTATACATCCTGAGAATGTTCGAAAATATTCCAGTTTCGGCAATAAATAAGCTTTTATTTAAACGCTTTGAATCTTGTGTACAGTGTGTATCCTATTAAATATCTAGATTTCCGTCGCTAAAAATTACTGCGATGATGCTCAGGTTGAAGAATAAGTTGTATTAACGAGTTGAGCATTCGCCGCGCGCTATCAAAACGTACGTAGCGTGTGTCGAGCAATAAAATACAATCTCGGAAGTACTCTCGTTCACTGTGGAAAGTTGATCTCTCCGGACTAAAAATAATTACAGTTACGCATTCGTGTAAACCTAATTCTAACGAACGAAGGTATATAATACGTAATATTCTCGTCTTCCCCCTTACGCAGTATTTTACGCAGAACTCAAGAAATTCTTTCGCTTATGCGAGCTGTGGGAGATGTGGCCCTTTCTTACGGGGAAACCGCGCTTAATAACCACGCTTAACCGAACCTTAGTAGCCTAGGACAAAACTATTCAACGTTAAAATTGTGACAGTTACGTTAACTATATGTACATATCACTTCGAGGAGTTACCGAACGTATCGGACACACAAGCATTTAAGCGAAACTCGAGATCTCTATCTACTACCGATAATACCGAAACGAGCAGAACAAGCATGTTCGTTTAACTCTTGATTCAACAATGCTCCGTTTAATTCTTTCTCATTTTTACACTCCTTCTTCTTCTTCTTCTTCTTCTTCTTCTTCTTCTTCTTCTTCTTTGTTCTCCATAAGAAGATAGGCCACGTCACGTTGTATCTAAATCTTTTTTAATCGTTAAATCGTTAAAGACGATGGTTTCGTGGATTATTTATAAATATACGTACAGTACAATTTTTAAAAGAGTTTGTTTTGGACGACGATCGTGAATGTTTCTTAACGTTAACGTACGTCACATTGACTTTTTTTCTTTTTACTCAAAGCCGTATTTTTAATTCAAAGCGGCTCTAATAATCTGTGCTATAATCGTGCTATAATCGTGTCACAAGAACGCACCTTTTCCTTCTGCAAGATACATTTATCTTGCGACAAGACGTTTACGATACACGTTATCCACTCTTTCGAATGAAGGATTACATCACGATAAAGATAAAATCCGCTCGCGCGGATAAGCTAGAGGAAAGTAAAAGCATTTGATTGTTCTCTAATAATAAACAACTCTCTTGCGTATGGCGTTTTGTGTCTGAAATGTTGTCAATTGGGACGCAAAATGATAAATAATGTACAGAAATGGACGAGACTCTTGCAATTTCTCGACGATACAACATGACCCCGCACGAAGATGCGGGTTTAAATAAGTTAAAGTAGGAGGAATACGATCGCTTTTAAGGAAGAGAATTCGGTTTCGCTGCATCGTGCCGTTGACGTTATCTCGCAATTCGGTACGAGGTGTCATACGACCTATCGTTTACGTCGTACGACTCTTATTACGTACGACGTAAACGACTAGCTTCTAAGTTGTGTCCCTCGTGCACAGGGTAGGAAAAAGGTATGCGTTTTATATACGACGTAGAAAAAAGGGAAGAAAATAAGTATAAATATGACGTTATCACTATTTTACGCGATTAAAAAAAATAGGTACTTCACGAGGTATTAATTTAGATGCGGTGTATGGCATAACGCCTGTTTACTATTTACACATGACACACGCGTGACACATGCCATCAAATTCGTTCTTATTTTACATCTGGTATCGCCCTTCTTTCTATCTTTCTTTCTTTCTTTCTTTCTTTCTTTCTTTCTTTCTTTCTTTCTTTCTTCCTTCCCAGCAATCTGAGCGTAGTCTGTCTCACTCACTTTTGCAGTACTAGTTATTAATTTGCGAATACTCGAACGCGACATACATGAAATAAAAATGCAACGCCATAAGTGGCATGTAACAAAATGTTTCGAATAAAAAAGAATAATTTATCACAGGTTTCTTACACAATGTTTTAGAGATCTTACACATTTATCATTTCGTATGATGGGTTTTAAAACTGTTTGAACATTTCTTGCCTTTCTTCTTCCTTTTCTTATGTAGTTTAAAGTGCAATTGACACCGATGAAAGAACTTATTTCTGCATAATTCGCAAAAGTTTAGTTCTTTCATTCAATTCATTATTTATTACATTCCAAACTACATGAAAAAAAGGAAAAGGAGGAAATGTTTAAATAAAACCGTTTTAAAGCTCAGTATATGGATTGCTATTGATAAAGCTAACATGAGATATATTCATGATTTCGTGCATTCTGACATGCATGCTGACTGGCACACTGAAATGCTGCTCGAATTGCCATTGGGTCGTTGCCATGCAGAGAATCTATAAAATGAATCAAATTGCGTACAGCCTTAATGTACAACCGGGCAGCATACGTGTGAGAATACACGAAACGAATTACGCGCGTCGTCCGATCAAGCCAGCTCAAATAATGTTCGCTTACTAATGTTCGCAAATTAATCACGGTACTTGTAGTACTAGAGTAATACACATTCTCGCAGGTTCGCGCAATTAACAGATCTTAATTTGTAATATATACAATATACGAATAAGGTAAAAACAATCATTAGTAGGGCGTTTCCGGGCATAATATGCTGGATAGCATAATGCATCCGCGCGAAATCCCTCGCGGAAGAACCGCGAACGGCCGAATGCAACTTCTAATTTCGCATTCTTCTCTATTACTGACATCACGATTATTATTCGGCCGGCATATAACGGCATCATCTTTTCTTGAGACAGATGAAAACTTAGCAGATGGAATCCGATGTACCGACCGACGTCTATGTCGTGTCGCTCATTGATCATCCTAGTGCGAAACCCGTACACGGTATTTCAATAGATCAATTGGATCAATTGGACCAGCCAAATAATGAGCCAAGTAACTTGCATTCGATATTGCGAACGGTTATTTCACGAAAAAAAGGCCCATTCTGCAATATATAAGATAAAAGCGCCAATGTCGTAACACACATGTACAATTCTAAATACAATTCTTACTGTTTTAGTCTCTAAATATTCCAATTTTAAAATCAAAACAATAAGAACATCTCGAGTTACGATACGTGTCCTGGCATTCGTACGTTGTAGCTTAGCCTTCGTTTCTTTTTCTTTTTCTTTCTTTTCTTCTTTTTTTCTTTTTGCGCAAAGAGAATGCGAAAGAGCAGTTTTCGAACACAATCACAAATTTGATCGTGCACACGATGTGTCGTGCAAATTACCTGATTCGATGGGAACGTTTCGAAAAGCAAGAATTTTCATCGCATATACGCATTACGAACGTGCCGAAATATGACGAAAAATAACAAAATATCTATTTACGGATTAGATATCTATCTTTACAGATTTTTCTTGTACGTCTAAAAATATCGGAAACTATGCTTTTAAAGTCTGTTTTCTTATACTTGAAATTTCGTACGCGCTTACTTGGGACACACACACACACACACACACACACACACACACAACAATTTGCTTACGTTTGTTACATAGAGATTCGTATTTACTACATTTGTTGTACGTTTTCCTTGTGCCGAACACGATGCCGAATATATTTTATTAACTTATTCCGCATCAATATGCGTCTCGCCGAAATGACACGTTTGTTTAATGATATCGGATTTATATAATGTCGTCTCGAATTCATATCTTTCCTGGCGAAATCAAATCAACCAGTAAGAAGAATGTGTCATTGTGTGTGTGTGTGTGTGTGTGTGTGTGTGTGTGTATGTGTGTGTGTATGTAACGTAGAGATACAAATGAATCAATCCTTTTTTTTTTTTTAAATATGTTACAACAGTTACAACAGTGTCTCATTGAGCAAGTGCCAGCGCATTAAAATTAACAAATTGACGAATTGGCAACTTGACAAATTGACAAATTAATATATCGAAGCTAGAATTAATTTGTCTGACATCTCTATTTGCTGGAAATCTATGTTGAATTTAAAAAAAACTCTTGAAGCCAGAGTCAATCGATTCTGAGATGGCAATGGCATGCGTAAAGTAGAACCTCGGAGGAATTGAGATGAGAGTAGGGAAGACCGGGTCTCAAGTAGGCCTAAGAGTCACGTTGATTATATATGTTGATTATGTGTTTGAGCCGAGGAGGATAGCGGAGGATAGATAACCCAATCGCAAAACGTTCCTTAGGAAGGCAGTTTTTTTCCCTAAATTTCATTAAAGTCGAAAACATAATGCAGTTGGGAAGGAGAAATGAGATTGATTTATGAACAATGGGATAAGTTCTCGAATGTTTCAAAGTTTAGCGTTAATATTTCTCATCGCGAGTGAATAAATTTAAATGACGTGTTATCGGTCAGTATAGCTTTTTGCAATAACAACTTCAATTTATCTTGGAAATATTCTAATCACAATTAATTGTGATTAGAATATGTCCGAAAAGTTTGAACATCCGAATTTTGAAAAAAATGTCTCTGTAATATCTCTCTTTTTCTCTCATTCCGGTCTCCCCTATTAATCAGGGCCGTGTTGAGACAACGGTAAACAAATCAACTACGCGTGTGGCTAACTCGGCTGTGTTCGATTTTATTGTCTAGTCTTTTCAACGTTACTTAAAAACTATTAATCCGAAAGTAAAAATTACACGACATTCAACGAAAATTCAATTGACCCGGATGAAATCAACGCTCGCACATCCGATCCGATGTATTGCATCACGCGATACTAAAAAAGCCAGAACATCCTATTCTCTTTGCTAAGTTTTTCTCTCTTACTTTTTTGTTCTCCGCTATATATATATATATATATATATATATATATATATACATATATATATATATATATATCTATCTATCTATCTATCATAGTCCATCCTCTGATGATTCGCGATTCTATCCGGAAGCGCGACGTTTGACAATAAAAGCACGAATAACGAGCTGTCGTTCAACACAACCGGTCGTATTCGCGTTACGTCTTGAAAACTCTGTATTACATATTGCTTTCAGAGTGACGCGTATCGGTCTGACGGATTGAGCTCGACTTTTAGCGAATTCATGGTCATCCTACATCTATCTAATGACGAGATTCGCGCGTATACAGATTATTTCAGGATTGCAAGTAAACGTTCTATGCTTGATAGAAACAGGCGAAAACAGGCGAAACAATTTTGACAAGTACAATGTATTACAGTTTCAATAAATCCATTTTTTACTTGGCATTCTACCTCACAAGTTTTCCGCGCCATTATGTACATGCAAGTACTGTAAATTGACTGATATCTCAAAAGTTTCATCAACAGTTTTACAATACAACAAGAAAACTTTAAGAAACTTTGGCGTATAGAAAATATACTTAAAACGGACATTCTGTGAAAGAAGCGCGAAAGAATTTAAACTTTACAACGGTCTTTACTTCAAGTCAATAACCTCAAAACCGAACATATCGACGCTTGTATTGAACCGAAAGCTCTGGGTCACTTCTCGGCGCTGTACGGCACCGCTGCTCGGTGCTGTCAAAACTCACCAATTTTCACCGATATGTGCTGAAATTCGTCACATTTTTCTTTGTTCTTTTATCGTCAACTTGAAAGATAATTGCAGCCAGACGTCGTGATAATAAGATAAAAAACTATGTACACGACGCAATATCTCTCTCACTTGAATAATTGCTTTTTACGATTTTTACGACGTGAAAGACTTAACATATAAAGATTTTCTTTCTCTTAACATATTAAGATTCTTTTTTTCGCGAGTTTTGTGTTAGTAGCAGTCAGACGGCTTCTTGCTTATAACCCTGAAACAGCCTGTATACCGAAAGACCGGTCGGCACATTTTATATTTTGACATTGTGATAAGGACACCACGGCCACAACACCAATGACTGTAGACATATAAAGACCAAACTTTGAATGAACTTTCGTTGAAAATCTAGCTGAGTTCCTCCCTTCTACGATAAATAATTCTTTAAATCAAGATTAAACGCAAATTATCAATAACATGCAATGTCCGCAATGTTACAAATATTCTTAATATTGTATTATAACTATATCTATGATCCGGAAAGAAATGATGACACATATGAATTTTGTCTCTGCACGACCGCATATATAGCTGTGTGTCATATAATTATATATGTAATTGTATAAAACAACGTATGTGTACATAATACGAAGACATATAATTGCACGTAATTATATATATTCATATTCATTCAAAGAGAACGCTATTATACAAATATAATCGATACAGATGAAATTCGTAACAGCCCGTAATTCGTAATTCGAATCTTGATCGATAAAACTATGCTTTTCTTATTCAATAGAATTCTTTTTTATACAAAGACAAATTTCATATATGGGTCATCATCATGGATATAATTTTAGATAATTGTATACAATTAATTTTTCTGTAAATGGATGTCTCTCATTGTGATCTTCTATTAAAATATAATTTTTCATAAATATCCGTAAATTAACAATCGATGTTGCATTTACTACATCTTCATGCAGTAGCAAGGTACGAGCTTGACACTCGACAATATCGACAGATTTCGATACATGTTGTTCGGTCCTTATATATGTATAATCACTGTCGATACCCAGCTGCCCCCTCTCTACCCCTGCGTACACTCGTTACAGTACAACTGGCGGATAAACGGAAGATGTCGCAGAGATTATGCGTTCTTCAAAAATTCATCACCTCCATTTTAAAGGCTTTACCCTGCATTTCCTTGTTGACGATTTTACCCATCGGCGGTGCGGCATTGTTATCGTCGTCGCTATTAACATCTTCATCCTCCTCTGGGAAATCTTCAAGTCGATCGTGATATTCATCAAGCTGAAAATGAAGGAATTGACGTTAGATATTTGTTATGTCACAATAGAATAGAACTGAAAAAGAAATGCGAAGCTACGATCTTAAGGAGTGCAAGGAGCGCAGGATATGTCGACGGTTCAATTTTAAGAAAGTCAGAACGAGTGATCGACTCCGCCTGAGAATGACTGCAATGAAAGAAAGGAACAGTTTCAAAGCAATTACCGCTATGTCAGAATACTGTCGCGTGATCGTAGCTTCGATAGGAATCGAATTCTCTTCGACATTATGACTGAACTACGTTTCGAAATGAATCTCTGTATAACTGCCATCATTTGCCAAGGTTATCACAACGTAAAAAGCAAGCATACTGATTCGGTGCATTGATATGGAACTAGATTTGTGTTGTAACTTCAATGACAATCATTCAATGTACATTTATTACAATATGATCCACGTGTTTCCCTACTTTTTCAAAAATACATGACGATACCTTGTATCGAATTCTTGTGATATATTACAAAGATTTTGGGAATGTAGCGATGTGTAGATGAAATCACGTATTAAACGTGCGGTATCTGATAAATAGTATTTTAACGCTTAAAATTTTCGATACAAGTACACTTTAAACGTAGTTTATCAGTATATATTGGAGATATCGTTTGTAGGAAATAATTTTGTCTAAAGAAATATATTTCGGTATCAATTGTCTTTATAGATATTCATCACACACAGATAGTTCATTTATGATATAAGTTCAAAAGGCATAATCATGCGTTCTATCCTTGATGATAGCTCGGTCACGAACGTATCGATGTGAGCGCACGTTAAATTCGGCTGAAGATATCGACGTATGCTCTCTCTCTCTCTCTCTCTCTCTCTCTCTCTCTCTCTCTCTCTCTCTCTCTCTCTCTCTGCCCCCCTCTCTCTCTGCCTCCCCCTCTCTCTCTCTCTCTCTCTCTTGCTGTTCAATCGTGCATTAATGAGCAGCGAGATCATCATACCGGGATGAATCGTATTATTCGTTGCGCGGTAAAGAGAAGGAAAAGAGGAAGTACTTCGGGCCGTGTATCAAATAACTGCGTGACGCTTCGCGCGACGTCTACACGTGACACATACGCTAATGCCGTGTACATGTGACGATGAATGCACTAGGAATAACATTCAGGATGCATTCACAAAATGTTGATATTCGTCAGGATGCATTCACAAAATAGTAAACTCACGTGTAACGTAGCTACGGGGATATCGAGTAATCGACGTTACCACAGACAGAATGGATGCTTACCTACAACTGCAGATCGTACGTTCAAATGTGAGTTATATCTAGATCGTACACGCGCTTAATTGGCTCACCATGAGAATAACAATTGCGCCGTAGGGTATACGCGATATACGTAATATCGCGGGGATTGGCGCGCGCTCGCGAGAATATGCACAAACGAGTCAAACATTTAATCCTTCGATTATATATCGAGTATACAACGTGTACTATATGTGTGTACACAAGACGGTCGAACGTTCCAACGGGGGAACATTGGACGGCGTGTCTAGGAAGGCGTGTTAGTCGCGAAACAGCTGCGCTGCGACTTGTATCGTGATGTTCGTCAGCCCGTGGTGCGCTAATTAAGCCGCTATTTTGCTTAAAATGTTTATTACGGGGGAAAGAGCAACGCTACTTTTCGAAAACAATTACTTCGAAGAAGGGAGGTACAACGCTACTTCTCCGAAGAGACGCAATCTCCCGGGGGTAAGGCAACGTGCGTTGCCTTCGTTCATTGTTTCGAGGATACGCCGGAGATACACGGGGGATTTTTCTGTCGCGATCACTTTACACATTCCATCAACGAACGATCACAAGCCCAAAAAAGCTATCTTCACGGTTATTTCTCTCCCTTTACCCACATGTCTTTCAACAGCCACAGATCAAGGTTTCTACGTGTAAATACATATTGACTACTCGACTGTAGATGGCAAGATCTACTCACGTCAACGTCGCCCATCATCTCTTTGGTAGATACTGTGGTGTCGATACGTCGAATACTCCCTTGATGAATATCGACGTCGAGTTTCACACACTGGAATCGTCGTAGGAGAAAAACTATCGGGATCGGAGCGATGCCAGCGAAAATGATAACTGCGGCGATCCCCAACACCCAGCCGGGGTAACTCGTGGGCACTGCCATGCCCTGTAGAGATAAACACGCGGAAGTGTGATTCACTCACATTATCACTGCGATCTTCTTCCTCGTACGTCAAGTATTGCATTAACGCTGACGGTTCATTTACGATTCTCGATCCTCACGTTTATCATGCGCAAGCGCAATGCTCAAAGTTCATACGCAGAAGAAGATCGCCAATACAAATAGTTTTGCAATTGGGTCATATATAATGTACAGATAGTTGAGGCTGAGATAGTTGAGACACGCAGCCCGCCGCTGCGTTCCAGCGGCGTTCCTTTACTTACCAACGACGCATTCCACGCCGAATATTGCGGTTTCTTGATGAACATGGAGGCGACACTAGACACGAGAATGCACACCATTATAATGGGAGCGAGAAATCGCCATGTGACTTGCCAGTAAACTCCTGGCCTGTGTCCTGTCATCTCCTCTATATCCTTCGTGAATCTGCGTGTTGCGCATTCGCGTGATTATTGATTTGTCTCGTGCTCGGACGGAAGAAGACTGGGAGGACTGGGAGGAGTCGACTTACTTCTCATGGCCGTACACGAAAATTACAGAGATCATCTCCATGAGGGCCACCATGACGAGACCGATGGTGCCGGCGAAGCTATCGAACATCTTCAGCCAGTACTCGCCCGCGCCGGTACAGAAGATGAGCCCCACGAAGAAACATATCGTACAGACGACCCCTGAAAAAATATTTGGCAAATATTGGCCGATTAAAACGATACGATCTCGATCTCGATCTCGATGTAAGTCGTGATAGATTCTCTCGATGTGTGCGTCGAGAGGAGCGTGCAAGAGCATACCAGCTCGACGAATTCCATTGAAATTGCATTGAAAAAATTAATGGCTAGCTAGAATACGATATATAATATATCCGGCGAGGCTGCCGATAGCTACTCTCCTACCTGTCATATATTGTTTCTTTATTCTTTTGAAGAGATCTATGTCGAAGATCACACACAGCATGCCTTCGAGTATTCCGATTTGAGAGCCTAAGCCAAGAGCGAGAAGCATCATGAAAAAGATGCAAGACCAGAATGGCGCTCCCGGTAACTCAACGATGGCTTGTGTAAACACGATAAAAGCCAGTCCGGTGCCCTCGGCGGCCTGAAAGTTAATTGTCGTTTATTTGTTACATCACGGGACTATCGGCCCGTATGAACTGACTGACGAGGCGTATCGTATCGCTACTCACATTGTCCAACTCTTCGCTAAGACTGCACGGCTTCATCGTGACGTTTATGGCCGAGGAGTTGAAGGTGCTCATAAAGAATTTGTAGTTTTCGAAATTGAAGGAAGTCAAATTGTCGCGAGATAAGAACCCATTGTCCAGCAGAATATCCCTCGCGCTGAAACGAAAGCGATTTAACTTATCTTCTGTGTCCCTCATATTCACATGACGTTCATCATAATAATTATTATATATACCGCTCCTCTCTACGACTCAATCCCTCCCTCTCCTTCAAATGCTTCTCTGACTTTGAATAATTAAATTAAGTCATATATATATATATATATATACACACACACACACACACACACACACACACACACACACACACACACACACATATATATTTAATATATATTTAAAAAAAATATTTCAGACAAAAGTTTTATGGCTTCAAGGGGTGATATTATGATGATGATGATATCATCTGAATTTAATCGCAGGTGGTAAAGATCTTTAAAGATTCCATCGCGGCGGCCATTTTTTCGAATGGGAATCAATTATTTTCTCGAAATAAAAGTTTCAGCTGACTGAATGAGACAAGTTTGCAACAAGAGTACGACGATTTTGTTGTCTTTTGAAATTGGATCATTTTTCGGCGTTCGAAATTACAGCGTTCGAAAAATTGTAATTTGTACGCATCTCGCTTGTAACGAACATCGCGGTAACGCGGTACGTCCTACGTGGTTAGGTATTTAAGAATGCGTCTTATTACAGTGACATGCACGGGCGATGCAGATCTGCACGTCTGCATCGGTTTCTTTTTGCTCTTCATCTACCTTCTACTTCACCCTCTTCGCGAATCGATGGTCGCTCCAGCGGTTGCATTACCTGACGACGCACTTGTCCACGTTTGACATTGCCTTGAACCCCAAAATGGCGAAAATGACAACGCTCGCGTAAATGGCAGTAAACGCGTTGCACACGCTCACCAGGATCACGTCTCTCACGCAGTTGTTGTCGGGTGTGTTGTAGCTGCCAAACGCGATCAGGGAGCCGAACGCCAGCCCGAAGCTATAGAAGACCTGGGTCGCCGCGTCAAGCCAGACCGTAGGCTCCAACAGTTTCTCGACCTTGAGCGAACGAAATGAAATGTCGATTATTATTCGACGTCTGGCCTGCTGTCGCTGGCGGCTGCTCATCTGACTCAAGTTCTACGATCGGTATCTACGAGACAACACTTAGCCGTGATGGTCACACCTTGGGAGTGTACATGTGCGCCAGTCCTGCGCTCGCGCCCCTCAACGTTATGCCACGGATGAAGAAGATGGTCAATACAACGTACGGAAACATGGACGTGAAATACACCACCTGAAAGTGGGAGACGATAGTAGGAGACGATCTGACGGTGACCGATGATGTGTCGTCGCAAGGCGCGAGACTTCTCTCCGATCCGACCCGATCCGATCCGATTTCGATGACGATGCGACGACGAACTTACTTTGCCGGACGACTGTATCCCCTTCATGACGATGAAGAACACGACGACCCAGCTGAGCAAGAGGCAAAGTACTATCCACCATTTGAGACCCTGGCCGTCATCGATCGATGGCGCCGCGTCCAAGGTAGTCCTGTACCAGAAATACGCGGTCTCCGAGCTTTTGACGCACTCCTCGATCGGCTTCCCATTCACTTCTGGGCACTTTGCCCACGGCAGTAATTGCTAAATTGCGTCGAGACATGCAAATATAGATCATTAACAAGCACTTTAATGAGAGCGTGTCTGTCTATTCGTCTGTCGATATTAAAGGCGATGGGTACTTACGCCGAAATTGACAGTAACAGCCTGCTCGCACACAATCACACCACCATGCAAAGGTAATAATAAATATTAATATTAATTAATAAGTAAATTTGTAAGGAAAATATACTTTTTGCTTATTCCGTCGATCAATTATTGACGATGCGATTTTCACTATTTATTTAAATCTGATTTAAAACAGGACACGAAAACGCAGGAGATAGGCCGTTTGAGATAGGCGATCTCAATGCCGATTATACGCCGGCACTGTATCAATCGACAGTGAACTTTATCGCTTACCCTTAACGAGTTGAAGAGGTAGTAAAAGCACCAGGTAATGATGACGTTGTAGTAAAGCGCAACGAAAAAAGTGACTATACACGACGCAATTCCTATGCCGCCCAACCAAGGGTGTATAGTATTCCAAACGCCCAGAGCACCCTGTCGCATACGTTGTCCGAGGCCCAGCTCGATCAAAAAGAGGGGCACACCCTCCAATATGAGCATCACGAAGAAAGGGATAAGAAAGGCACCTAAAATATACAAGTGCGAGTGTCGTTTTAGAGAAATTTCAAGTCTGAGTTATGTTACCGATGCGCGTATTCGGCGTGAAGTATAAATAAAAGGAAATCGCCATAGAAAGACTGAAGATATACAATTGATTGATTGCGTAATATATATGTGTGTATGTGTGTGTGTGTGTGTGTGTGTGTGTGTGTGTGTATGTATGCACATAGTAATTAATTACACACACACACACACACACACACACACACACACACACACACACACACACACACACATAAATATATATGTATATATAGAGTGATTTCTTTCCTTCTCTCACTTTCTCCCTCCCTCCCCCCTCTCTCTCTCTTTTTCTCTAGATCTTGTGACAGACGCGTACTACTCTCTTGTACTCTTTCGTTTCTTTTTGCTCTTAACAAGACTTTCCCTGTCTCCTTCTTCCTTTAGATGTCTGTAGTTACGCGGTCACAGTAGCCGGAGCGCCTTGTATTGATCGAGCGAATCAAGTCCTAACTCGTTCAGCTACTCTCTGTCTCTTTGACGTCTTTTTTGATATTCGCATATAGATCCAAACTGAAGGAAGAATCGCAGGTTAAGAGAGCTGTTTTTTCAATAAAATTGTGCATAAAGTCGTTCGCTGTAGTAGGGTACTTTTAATTGTTTCAGTCGATCAGTTATATCCGATTATATATAGCTATGATAAAGATAACAATGACGACGGTTCTTTATTGGTCTGATGAGCGTCATCTAGTTTAACAGAGGGAGAGAAACGCACACGAGGAAATTAAGATACAAGAATATCGATCCGAAGCTACTACCGATTTCTTCGCATCATCGTGGACTTTGAAATGATTGGCGGTGATCCATGACGCACGTCGTTCAACCTATTAAAACGGTTCGCAGTCTCTTTGTTTGCGGCCATTATTACGTTAGAAATTCGCGAAGGGCGGCAGATGTTAGACCGTCGCGT